AACCAGAAAGGACCACTTGAATCCCCCCCCCGTGGGTACCCCAAGCTCTCATGCCACAAGAGATGCGTCTGGGCTGTCCGCTGCCCACGTGTTCCGCCGCTTTGCTTCCTCTCCCTGGTCTGCTGGAGACGAGGGAGAGGGAGGGCCCCGTTCGTAATTGCGGATCCGACGTAAGTCGGATCCGCGTAAGTCGGGGACTGCCTGTATTAAGAGCATGTTTATAAGTCTAGCAGATGAGCCCAAGCATATTCCCCAAGCTGCATCTGGAAACTTTCCTTTTATTCATCCCTGTTGTTTTCTCCATAGACACAGTGGAGTCTGGCCAGAACCGCTGCCCATTGTATGCTGCTCACATGAGAAACGGTGGCTTTGAAAGGCTGTGTCTAGACTACAGGGTTTTGTCAACAAAAGTGGACTTTTGTTGACAATACTATACGTGTGTCTACACTGCTGCTGAGTTCTGTCGATATAATGTCGACATAACTCGGCAGTTTTGTCGACATATGTAAACCTCATTCTGTGAGGAATAACACCTTTTGTCAACAGAGTTCTGTTGACAGAAGGTATTATTGCATCTACACTGTCCTTTGCGTCTACACTCTCATGTCAACAAGGCAGGCTTGCTTTGTCAAAAGAACTGGATGTTGTCTAGATACTCTTTGTCGACAGAAGCTTTGTCGAGAGTATCTGTCGACAAAACTTCTATCAATAAAATCCTAGACATACCCAAACTTCTGTCAATGTAGTCTAGACATACCCAAAGGGACCCGGGAAGAGTTTTATGAATATCTGAAAAATATTTATTTGAGATAAATGCCTCTTTGCTTCCCTCCTTGTAAGGACTGTCCTAACGTGGCACTGGAGATAATGTTGGGTGTTATCAAGCCTCAGAGGAGGGAATTGTTATTAGTTGAAGAGTCTGGATTCTCCAACTTGGGATTGGCCATTGAGAGTCTGGGCTGTCAGCTATAATAAGGAGGCTCCATGAAGTTGTTCCAATATAAAGAAGGGCCTGTCTAGTTCACACTTAGTCCAGAATCAGGGAAATGCAGAAACCTCCTTTTTCTCCCTCCCTCCTCCACATCTGTCCCAGACCATCTTGTGGGTGTGAAGCCTCTCAGAGACTTAAACAACAGCTGGCATATAGAAAGGAGAGGAACAAAGATTGCTGTTCTCACCATGGTGGTTCCCATGTGGAATTAGGAATGGATTGATCTACAGCAAACATGCCCCCCGCAGCAAGGTCCGATATAACGTGTATGATGGGGGCAACTTCCGTGGTAGCACCTTCCTCTTCTGTGCCAGCATCGGTGCCTCATACCAGTACAGTGTCCTGTATAATGAAAGAGTCTTAATTTTCATTCACACAACAGTGCGAAGGAGAACCAAACCAAACGCATTTACTTCCTGTACAACATTTTCTTTCATGTTTCATAGTACTTAAATTCTGAAAATCTGTGCACAGTCAATTGCAAACTTTAGCAGTGATGATTTCTTTTCTCTGCCAGGTCATTGATGAAAATGTTGAGTGCAATAGGGCCAAGAAGCAGTCCCGGATGGACTCTACCAGACTGAATATGGGGGTTATTTTCACAGCTCATAGTTCAGCCACATCTGAATGGAGTTTCATATGAACATCACAGGCACCTTCCTCATTCCAGCTCTGTTTATCACTTATATTTTGAGTATCTGCTGTCAGATATGTAAGCATTAAAGCTCTTTAGAAAAACATTTGGGAAGAAAACATTTTATGCTATCTGAGTAGATGGTCGCAAATATGCATCTAGAGAATCCCCACATTTCATTCAAATCTTACCTTCCACACCAGCCTGCATCATGAGGAAGAGGACAGCAAAAAGAAGGTAAAGGATCTTCATAGCTGAAGTTTGGTTGGGAAGCGTCAATGTAGAGAAGAGATTCTGAGACAGACAGAAGAAGGAGGTTCTCTCTATTTATAGGGTGCTGACAATTGGAATAAGGATTGGTCTGTTGAAATGTTGTTTTGATGCAAATGATATGCATAAAAGATGCTGCAATCTGTTAATTGCAAGTATTATTAATTGCGCGTCACCATAAACATTCCAAGAAAATTACAGGGAAATGTAATAGACAAGTCCCTGCTTTCAGGAAGTTCCAAGATGAATATTCATATCTGGAAAATATCTACTGCCTAGTGGATAATCGACCCAATGACTTTAAAGGAGGCTCTAGGGGAGAGAGTAGTTGCAGAAGACAACCAGAGAAATGATTGTTAGAAAGTGTGCGCATTTGTATATTTGCTTTGTACAGTTTTTTATCACTATTTAATGAATATATAGGGAATTTTCTGAATTTTATGCGTCAAAACCCATGACAGAGACTTTTCCTGTTATGTTTGGGTGTTACACACATAGAAGTTTTACATAAAGACAGCAAGAGTCTTGCAGGAAGTTTATAAAATACCTTTATTTCTTGGCATGCAGAATGATAGCACATAAATCTAAAAGCAGAGAGAGAGAAAGGAAGCTCTACTTCAAATCTGAGAGATACCAACATGTTTCTCTTCAGAGCCCCCTTGCCTGCAACTAGGGCCAGGACAAAATCCTGAACATTAGACATTGCAGTTTACAATTTTAGCTGTTTTTACAGTTCTCAACTCTCCACAATTTCTCCACAGATGGCCTTCTCCAGCTGGATCCCCTCCAACTACAGACTGCAACCCAGGGATCTTTCTTAATAGGCACCTGCCTATTGCAGTGATAACCACACCTGGTTTTGGGAGAGGCAGGAGAACGTGGGTGCTGCAGATGTGGATGGGTGAATTTCTCTAGAGAAATCATGGAACAACCAACGGAACACAAGAGTAATGAAGGCCTGCCTTGCTCTGTCTGCTGCCAATAAGCCCCATCTTGACTTCTTTTCCCATTCAGCTGGAAGCTTCAGTAAAACAAAGTTGACATTTAGGGAAGAGTCAATTTGAGACTTTGGCACTTTCCCACCAAGTATCTACTCTTCATCCTTCAGGAGAGCTTGCATAGGGATGCCACCAATCTTTAGCCATACATTCTGTCTACTTTTGCTTTTGCTGTCTCATTATGCATGTATGTGAACACCTGGGTAGTAGACACACAAACCATGAATACTTCCTCTCCAGCCTTACTCCTTTGGAAATATTGGAAAAGATGATAATCAGCAGATAATCAATTAAAATTACTCTTAAACAGTGTTAGTGGTTCTGTGTACTTCACACCCCATGTTAGAAAGCCATTTACAGGAGCAGTGTACTTGTGGTGATATGAATTCTCAGAAGCTGGGAAGATGATGGCCTTCCTTTGCTGAAGTTTGACCTTGTTGAAGGCTCTTAAAGGAGCCAGATTTCTCTCTACTTTGCCAAACCTGCTTGTCAAAGAAACTCTCTTTCAAAATGGGGATTTGATGAAGATGACTTTTTTATTTTTAAGGTTAGTACACCGGGCTAGGGTGGCTGGGAAAGACCACTTCTTAGCCTGTGGGCATTGGGCTTTGAAGCATTAAAATCCACCGTCTGGTTCTTGTTAGTGGCCTGACAAACCTCTGGTAAAACTGTGTTTTACCAGGGTACATTTGCTGAGCCAAAGTGGTGGTTTCCTCTTCATCACAGAGCTAATAAAAAGAACCATATATTTAGTTCAGCTTTTTCCCCCCTGACAAAACACATATGGCGTAATATATATTCATGTAATCTACTTGCCCATGGTGAGTAAATTAGAAGCCGGCACAGCTGTGCAGCATGGTTAGCTCATGCACAGCGTGGTCTGCGCATGAGCAACGTGCGAAACCTCGCAGCTGGTGAGTGTCTGATTGAGTCTTTTGGTTGAAGAACTTTTCCTAAATGATAAGAGTTAGAACCACTACGTTTGGCACGGAGCTTCCTCTTCTCATAACTTTCAGGAAGGTCAGGATTTGGTGATGAGTGGAAAATGGGATTTGCCTGCACTTCTGTGGTTCTCCATAGCATGGAAAGGGGAAGAGAGGGGTTATTGGAGGCATTAAGTACTGCAGAGTGACCAGTAGGATCAGCTGCACCAGGAAGGGGAGTGGCCAGCTGGGGATGGGGC